CATTTTAAATGCGGGTCTAAAGTAAGGTTTAAAAAACAAAACTAAAGAACCAATGCATTTTATTCTAAGTGACCTTTATGGCATAATTTTAGACACACATTGACCTGATTTAACGTATTATTAAGAAAGGGATTTTAAATTAAATAATAATTAAAATGGAAAGATATATTAAAAGGGACTAAAGATATATTACACCTAACGAAAGGAAACTCTCTAAAAACTTAATAAAACTACCCCAAAATTCTTCCAACTGCATCAAATACTTGGCTAAATATACTTAGTATTGTACATTTTGCGAGTGAATAAATCGAATGCCTTAAAAATTCTGGGGTTTAATGCCTTTTTTAAGTGCATTCCTGCACCATTTCTTCTCTTTTACCCTCGATTGATATGTATGGCGGAACTTTGGCCACAAAGCACAGCTAAACAGGGGGTGGCCGGCAAAATAGCAGAGCCCAGCGGGGGCCGAAAGAAGAACAGCAAACAAGAACAACTGACACAAATTGCAAACTCATTAAATTAAAATTATATTTAATAACCGCGAGTGCACGCAGCCAGCGCCCGGCGATTTGCACTAATGCCCAGCGACCAGTCCTCGCCTCGGCCCCACTAGCAGCGTGCAGCGTGCAGCGAGCCTCATGCCTCATGCCACGTGCCCCTATTCCGGCAGAGAATAACCCCCAACCCAACTGGGTGCATTCCTGGTTCTCTTTGTTTTTGTTCCTTTCCAGTTCCCGCCCCACCGCCGCTGCCCTCGTTGGTGCCCAAGGCTCCGCCACCGCCACCTCCGCCTCTGGCACCCGGCGAGAAGCGAGAACTCACCAGCACGCAGAAGGAGACACTCGAGAAGCTCAGGTGAGTGCATAGCGACCCCTGACTCCCAAACCCTGATCTCTTCCCTGAGTACCCTTTTAAGGATGACCATAATTCCGATTCGCTTCGATTCGCAGGACACGACCTAGAAGGCGCCCGGACTGGTCCGAGATGATGAAGGAGGTGGAGAGCGGCAGGAAGCTGCGCCATGTGGCCTGCAACGATAGGTGGGTATTAACCGGCGGGTAATCCCAGCCGGATTACACAAGTAGTCGCAGATTGCAACACTCCCAAAAATTAAAAAACTAACTAGGGCGGAAGGTAAAGGTAAACAAAAGCGTTGAAACTTTTAATGCCAAGCTTTGCCATGTTTACACAGATAACTTTTTTGGCCAAAAAGAGAAGACTGCTAAATAGTTTTGTAATTAAAAATTAAATATAAAGAGCAAATAAGACGAATAACTCACGAAAGCAGGGGAAGTTTGCGTCTGAAATGGGCAACTTTAAGAGAAAAGTGCCTTGAAAGGTGCTTATGATTACTTAATTCCCCTTCTTCCGCAGATCTCAGCCCATCTTAACCTGCAAATCGATGACCAAAGTGGATGACAAGTTTATCTACGAAACGGAAAAGGACAACTCGCACAACAAACTGCTCAAGCAGATCCAAGGTGGCATCAAGCTCAAGCCCACACGCACCAATGATCGCAGCAAGCCCGTCCTGGATGGTCTCCGCAAGTTCCGCCGCCAGATGACCATCGAGGAGCAGCTGCAAAAGTCGCAGTCCAAAATCAATATGCTCAGTGAGGCTCCCAGTAGCCATGCCCTTGGCCCAGGTAGTAACACCGCTTTGGGAGCCGGCGGATCTCGTCCCAGCATCGTGTCCGCAATGTCCATTGACGAGGAGAGTCCCGACGAGCTGGATGACATCGATAAGATCCGGGACGATCTGCAAAGCACCAAGCAGATGCTGGCTTTGGAGCTGCGAAACCGTGAGGCTCAGGAACGCGAGAACAAAAAGCTGCTGGCCAAGATCCGCACCCTGGAAACCGAACTGGAGCGAGAAAAGTCTCGCGAGAAGAACCTGGAGTATGGTTCCAACGTGATCGTGGCCACCATGGATCCCACGCCCACCGCTGAACAGACCTTTGTGAACAGCCTGAAGCGAGAGGTTGAGGATGCACGCAAGGTGTCCAAGGAGGTGGAGCAGAACTACAAGAGCACCAGCGAGCAGCTGGTGGAGGCCAAGACCGAGGTGGAGGAGCAGCGCCGCCAGATCCAGCTGCTCGAGCGCAAGTTGGCAGCAGCCCTGAAGGTAAGTTGGTGTTTCGGATTACATTTGAGGATGTGGATGGAATGGATGTTGCTCAAAGTGTTGTCAGTTGAGACTGGAAATGGGTTTTAGGTTTGAATTTTTGGGTTTAACCTTTCCTAACATACTATTAACCCTTTCCCTATCATACTCTTGCAGAAGCTATACAGGAAATTCTAATGTCCGTCTGCTTAAAAACATTTTAAAAATTATTAAAATTTCAAAAAACTATTGCTAATGAGTCTGCAAGGGTATGCCAGGCATCGGTACCCGAGGCTAGACATCCTTTCTTGTTTTTAGTGTCGCCGGGGCCGGGTCGCTGCATCCGCTGAGGGCGGAAAGTAGACGGGAGCAGCTAACGAAGCCACCGCAATCTGTAGTTACCACTTAGTGTCCCTACTTTAGTTGTCCCTAGAAGCTATTGTAGCCGGAGAAACAGATCAGCTGACAACACTTGACACCAGTCTAGGATGGGTCTGGGAATGGACCACCAACCAGGGGCACCTCACCTCACCTCACCTTTTACAGCCTGTATAAACTCCGAAATTTTCCATTATTGACTCTGGTCTGCACACAAAGCCTTTGACCTTATTATAATTGGTCAGAAATTTTCACAGAATTACTAACAACAAAGAGAGCAATCTCTAATTTCGGAAGTCATGCATTTAATTAAAACAATGTTTGAGCTTTAAAGTATGAAGACTTTGAACTTTAGCACAATCAGAAGGAATTTGCTGTGCAGCACAAATATTTTCATGAAATTGACGCAGGGTTTCCCTTAAATATGTTTGTCTAGAAACAACAAAGTAATGAATATTTTTTGGGTCAATTAACACAATATGAAGTTGTGGCGTAAAGTCTGGCAAAGGCGATTGGAATGGAATATTTTTTGTTCTAGATAGAGTTTGTATATTTTGTTTCATCAGTAAATTCCCTGTTTTTAGAAATTTCACAGAGGGCAAACGAAAGAGTAACACTTTCAATATCGATGAAAACCGATATTTTTAGGGTTTTAAGTTTAAAGAAAAACTCTCATGAAAGTTCTGTAAAACACCAAAAGTTACTCATTTTCCAATTAAAGTATTAAGAGACAGAAAATAACTTAAATTTATAAAAATAGTTCAAGGACTTCGTTTGCAGACCACCTAAAAAACCACTCTTACGACACGCATGCTGCATGCCGACAGAACAAACTTCCCAGATTCCGCCCAGACCTAAAGCGGTTTTATGACCCGTTGAGGACATGCCCAGACCCGTCCCATCCTCTGCCCATGGAAGCTTTCGCGCTCTTGCACTCTGCAGCCGACTCCGCAGCAAAACTAACCGATTAACCTGTGTTGACGCTCTCTTGCCAAGGCGACACCAAGCACTAACAGACCGCACATTAGTAATTGCTTTGCTTACGACGACGACGACGACTACGACGACGATTGCTTCCACTATGATCACTACCGCTCAGCAAGGCACCAGGTAAACCCAAGCCCCGCCAGCGACGCCCTCACTAATCTGTATTTCTCGTGTACTCTCCATTTCCCGTTCCGCCCAGGGTGGTGGATCTATGGATGGATCACGACGTCCCAGCGATGCCAACTTCGGGCGTGACAGCTCGCCAGAACTGGAGCTGGAGGTCAGCGAAAGCGATCCGGATGAGCCGGAGGAGAAGAAGACGGAGCGCAGGGAGCGGCGGTCCGGCAAGGAGCTGAAGGTGCTGCGCAGCAAGCTAACCAAGCTGAAGGTCAAGGAGGAGGCAGCCAAGAAGGAGAAGGATGCCCTCAAGCAGGCCATGAAGAAGAACCATGTGATCCTCAAGTGAGTACAGCCTATGGAAAACTTCAACTAGGAAGGATTCTGTAACAAATTTCTGGATTACCTTGACAGGGAGGAGAACAAGAAGTTCAAGAAGCTGGAGAAGGAGGTCCAGAAGATGGCTGCCTCAATGAAACTAGACGAAGACGACGTAGATGGCGAGGAGAAGGACGAGGACGAGGAAGAGCCCGAGGAGAAGGACGAGAGCGAAGAGGAGGAAGAGGAGTCCGACGACGAGTCCGAGGAATCGGAGTCTGAGGCCAGCGAAGCGGAGACGGGCAGTGAGTCCGAGCCGGAGGTAAGTATTACTGTTTTTGTTCAGCTTACCTGTATTTATATTCCTTATATTTCCTCCAAGGACTCGCCGAACTCCGTGAAGAAGGCAAATGTGGAGCCGCGGGTAAAGAAGCACGAGAGCCGGTTTGCGGCAATGAAGAAGTGCAACGTGCTGCTCCAGGCGAACGTCGACAATTTGCAGGATCAAATTGTACAGGTGCGATCGCGGGCCACCAACTTGCAGGACGAACTGGACGCGGTTATTGCCGATCTGGGCTTTTAGTCGCTGCTGCTTGTTTGCTCTTTAAGTATCCCTTTCCGTTCCTTGCCCTGTTTTTCGAGTGTGTGTCCGTGTTGCCGGAAAATTATTATTTTTCTGATATAAACAAACAATAATAAACAAACAAACAAAACACTTGGCTAGAGATGGAACAAAATCGATAAGTATCGAAGAATATGCTGAAGAAAAAAGAGGTGGGAAACTTAACTAAACGAAACAAAACTCACAGCACCAGTCTGGTAACGCCGTTCAGTTAATGTTGAACCCTTCACAAGACGTTAAGAATTCTTCGGAAATTGCTTGCTTTAATGCTTGCAATTAAAATAGGTTTTTATGCGAATATAATGGAAGCAGCGCAAAATGAAATAGAAGCCATTTTTTCCTTGTGATTTCTGGCGCCGCCAAGAGCGCTTTAAGGATTGTTTAAGTACCAGCTCCCGCGAACTGTAGCACCTTCGCAAAAATAAATATTTTAAAATTGCCCGCCAAAATTTCTTTTACATCTCTAAATGAAAATTATTTACTCATAAGTCGTATTTATTATAGTATTTGTAAGCATGTATAACAATGTACAAAACAACAAATCGGCGAAATTGGCTAAACTAAACGCGCACTACGAGTATTTTCATTAAGAGTGGAGTGGATATCACGCGATCCGTCTTCATTTTTGATTAAACTACAATCTGAGCCTTGATATAAGTTAAGTCTACGGTGAATGAACTGGTTCGATGCCTGGTTCTGGCAGGGATTAGGTGAGAACGATGGTGAGACGGGGAGAAACCGCGAACTTCGTCTATCGATGTTACACTTTTATTCCAGCAGGATGAGTCTGAACCGCTTCCGCAGCGAGGACTCACGTGGCAGAGTGCCCGCCCACTTCTTAAGGGCCGTCAGCACCACAGATCCCATAACCATGACGGCACCCACCAGGGAATAGGCGGTGGGCGTCTCCCCGAAGAAAAGCATCTGCCAGACGAAGGCGAAGACGATGTCCGCACAGCGGGCAATGGCCACCGGTCCGGCCTGTTCGATCTGCAGCGAGAGGGTAAGCAGGATCTGGCCCAGAAAGCTGAACACGCCCAGGACCACAACCAGCCAGCGATCTCGTCCGCAGCTGGGCCAGCATACAGCTCCGATGGAACCGCACACGATAAGGGTGTAGACAAGAGCGATGGTTCCGAAATTGGTCATAATCACGGAGAAGTGCAAGTTCTTCAATGCCCGCAGCAATATGTAGACGTTGGCGCCAAAGAGCGTGGACGAGATGGCGGCCACCGGTCCCCAGATGTCGTACGTCTTGCCAGACACATCCTCACTCTCGCCCGAGCCGCCGAAGAAGAACGGCGGTCTGGTGATGAGGACCACTCCCACCAGCGTTAGGTTGATGGTCAGCACATTGAACAGCGTGCATGGCTCCTTGAGGAAGGCACGCGCAAAAATGGCCACGAAGACGGGCGTGGAGAAGATGATGACGCTGGCGTCCGCCAAGGGCATGTGTCGAAAGGCATAGAAGCTGAGCATCAAGCCCGTGGTGCCCATGAAGCACCGCAGCAGCAGGATGACCCGCTTGCCCTCCGGAAACACCGGCTGTCGAGTGTATATCAGGATCGGAAGCGCCGGCAACAGCACGCCCACGAAGCGGAAGGAGGCCAGCTCCATGGGATTCACGTCCACCAGTCCTTTGACAATCACCGAGCAGAGGGAGAAGAAGAGGGAGGAGAGTGTCGCCAGCAGGATGCCGAGGTAAGGACAATTGTCACCGAGACGCCGCTGCAGACGCTCTAGCCATCGGGGTGCTGGGTCGGGGGGCGGGGCACTCTCCTGGAACTGCTGCAGCTCCAGATTCTCCGGCATTTTTATGGTTTCTCAGCTAAAATCTATCCTTTTAAAATTTCAGCATCCTGAAAGCATTTGCATTAGTATGTGTACGTATTTTTGGGTATGTGTGTTTGTGCATGAACCAACGGTTTTTGTGTCTCACCTGCACTGAAAAAATCGATTTGGTTGGCTGCTTTCCCTTATTTGCGCTCCTGCCTGCTCGCTACTGCGCCTTTTCTCAAGCTTCACATGCACATCGCTTCCCCGCCGCCCGTTTCACAGAGTTTTATTCATTGTTTGCTCGCGGCGTTTATATTTAATTAAACATTTTATCTTTTCGCAAACGGCGATTGGCAAAAGCCTGTGAACCAGTGCTGCCACCCCTCAAACTTATACTTGGTTGAAAGTGCTGCCAGCCTGCAGGATATGCCTGTATAACGGTTTATTTTACGATTATCTCAGATTTACTTTTTTATTTTATTAAAATCATTTAAAATAACCGTATTATTTCAGATTTGGTGTAAAATAAATATAAAATAAAATAAATAGGACAGAGTTAATTAAGTTTCTGTCTATCTACACTACCCCAGAAAATTAAAATACAAACAAGAATGGAAGCTAACTTCGGCACGACAATGTTTTTATACCTTTGATGTTTATAAATTAGAACTTATCCAATTTCGTCAAGTGAATATAATAACTAACACAAATTTTAGAAAACATATACATATACAAATCATAAAATTTAACTATACAAATAGTATATATTATTTTACAGTTACTTCTTTATATTTTACATTTTCTTCTTTATGATAGTATTCAAAATTTTATAAAACTAAAATCAAAATTCTAAACAATTAAAAATTGCATTTTCTCTAAAAACATGTTAAAAAAGAGAGAAGTTATTTGTAATATATTTTTTAAGGTTCCCATGATACAGTCGTTTTATCCGTCCTCTTCATATTTATATACTGTTGAGAGTGTACTTCCGGAAATATATAAATATACATATATCCATTCGAATTCATTTTAATTTAACTTCATAAAGTTTATTTACAAACAAACAGCTGGCTTCAGCTGTCAGTGAGAGATTTTCGCATCTCAATTTAATTTATTTGGTCACACTGGTTAACGAGAAGAAAACAATGAGCAAGGAACCGGGAGTAGTGAGCACCCGAAAATGGGCTATTGTGGCCGCCGGTGTGGGCCTGGTCTACGTACTGGTGCGGCACAGGCAAAAGATCCTGATTCCCCTGCGTCGTATATTGCCCACCGGCAGTTGGCTGCCCCACCGGCGCATAGAAATCATAAATTCCGTTCAGGATCCATCCACGCAATGGGTTATCAATGAGCTGAAACAGTGAGTAACACGTTAGGCTTCTTGTGAAATTCAATGCCTTACTCTAAGCTTCACTTCAGACACTGCCAGAGCTTCAGGGTCTTGGGATTCGATTGCGAATGGATCACGGTGGGCGGTACCCGCCGACCTGTGGCACTTCTCCAACTCAGCTCTCATCGGGGGCTGTGCGCCCTTTTTCGCCTGTGCCACATGAAACAGATACCCAAGGACCTGCGGGAGTTGCTGGAGGATGATGCTGTCATTAAAGTGGGTGTGGCCCCGCAGGAGGACGCCGCGAAGCTATCACATGACTATGGAGTGGGAGTGGCCAGCACCCTGGATCTGCGCTTCCTGTGCGTTATGGCGGGACACAAGCCCGAGGGCCTGGGGAAGTTGTCGCAGACACACCTGAACTATACTTTGGATAAGAACTGGCGCCTGGCCTGCTCCAACTGGGAGGCCAAGCAGCTGGAGCCAGCTCAACTAAATTATGCCGCCAACGATGCCCTGGTGGCCGTGGCTATTTATCAAAAGCTCTCGAGGGATCTGGAGCCAAGAAATTTCTGGGACCGCCGATCATTGAACGATCAAATGCTGCACAACAAGTTTGAACCCTTCCTGGACGTGGACTTTACGAAGGGTTTCTCGCTCAACGTCACCGGCAGCGGAGTCACTCGCACGAAAAACACTGGTCCCTCAAAGTCGAAGAAACTGCTGCCCAAGAAGCAGCCATGCCGAACAATGTCCACCCAATCGAAGACCTTCTATGACAACTGCTTGCTCCAGGCGCCCGATGGCGAACTCCTTTGCACTATAGACAAACGCAAGGCGTCCTGGTACTTGGATCAAAATCTTGGTACTCAAATCAGCGAGGAACCGTTCACAGTGCGCCTGAACTTTGAGCCAGCGGGTCGGGCGGTGGGGATGTGGGCCGCTACTATCAAACGCCCAAGGAGAATCAGTGCGTCGTTTGCGGCGATCGGGATGCCTATATACGAAAGAATGTGGTGCCAAGAGAGTACAGGAAGCACTTTCCGCTGGTCATGAAGTCACACACCTCACACGACGTGCTGCTTTTGTGTCCCACCTGCCATCAGTTGAGCAATATATCCGATCTACGGATACTCACCAAGTTGGCTGTCCAGTGCGATGCTCCTTTTAAGAATGGAGAAGGACACGAGAAGTATCGAATTGATCCGGAGCTGCGGTGAGTACTGATACAAGAGTGCTTGAGAAAAGAAGTATCTCTCTGTGGCTATCTTATTTAATCAGCAAAGTTTCACATCACTGTCGCAACATTTTCTATATTGTATGTAGTGTTTTTCTTAAACAATTTCATTCCCCTTTCAGACGCGTCCAATCTGCTGGCAATGCTCTACTCCAACACGGCTCGAAAATACCCGCAACAAAGGTGGCCGAAATGCGTAAAACCCTGCTCGATTTCTACACGGACTACACTGAGATAACAGAGGAGCTTCTGCGACAGGCGGCTAACGTGGAATACCGAGTGGAGAATACAGACTTTTGCCAGCATGGAGAGCGAGTGGTGGAACGGTACCGCAACCAGTTCGGTGGCCTCGTAGAGCTGGAGCGACTGTGGCGAGAGCACTTCCTGCACGCCATGCAGCCGCGCTTTCTGCCCGATCTGTGGAATGTCAACCACAACGCCGACCGCCTGGAGGTGCGAGCTAGCGAGGGACGCGTGGACGAGGCCGATTTACAGGTGGCAGGAGTAGATGTGAGACCCAAGGTCGACTGATCAGTGCCTTTTTGAGTTTATGCCGAGGGCTTTGTACGTTTTTTAATTAAATTTCATTAAACATAAACTAAAATTTGATTTGTGCTATGGTACAAAGACAAGACAAGGAGTCACGGGTCATGATGAGGCAGATAAGAGCTGAGCATCCCTTGACTAACTATAAATATTAAACTTACTTTATATGGGCATTAATACATTATGTACACGCTTGGAACTGGAGCTGAGTTGAGCTGACTCAAGCTAAATGAACTCAAAGCCCTCGTATTTGTACTCCGTCTCGATCCGCACCTCGGGCAACAGCGTCCTGCCCGTCGTATCGAAGGCTGTGATGAAGGTAGCAGTTTTGCCATTCAGTTCCTCTGATTTCAGGGCCACAATGATGGAATCATCGGTGCCGGGCAGGAATTTGAAGCTGGAGAACCCATGCGTGGGCATTGTGTTCTCAGGATCAAGCCGCACGGTCTCGATCTGAGTAAAGCTTTCGTCGGCAGAGACCAGGACATTACAGCCCATGTGCTCATCCTTGGTTTCGTTGTATCTGTAACAAATGGAACAATTAGTAGGCAAAGTAGAGAATCCTTTGGAAGTACCGAGTCCTACTTTTCTTTGGAACATCGTCGTGGCAGGAAAAACCAACGCTTCTTTTCCTCCGACCATGCGCCACTCTCATGGATCATGTAGCCCGGCCAGGAAATCTGCTGAGACTGCAGCCGGAGCTGCTTGAAGTTGTCCACCCAGTTTAGGGAGCGTACCTCTCCTCCAGTCGTTATTGCCTTCACGTACATGGGATTGTAGTTCTCAAAGTCGCCCGCACTCGTCGTCCACTCCTTGCCCATGGAACCCACGTAAAGGGTGTCCTGCTTCACCGTGGCCCATTCGGACTTGAACCCCTTGGCATTGTGCCCGTCGCCATCCAGCAGGATCACCCAGGGAATGGCCTTGTCGTTAACTATTTCGTATATTAATCCGGTACGATCGTCGAAACTGAGCAGGCGGCCGTTAAAGGTCACCAGCTCGGAAAGCTCCATGCCACGGCCCTTAAGGGCAAACGCAGATTCGAGGACTGTGGGTGCCCCATCATCCCAACTGATTTGAATTTCCGCCTTGGCCACCGTGTATGTGAGGTAGCCCTTCTTGAGGTAACTCCGCCATGTAGTGCTGCCATCGCTCTTCTTTAACTTGGAATTGGTATCCAAGTCGGCAATCATGGCTATCCGGTAGTTGATCACCCCGCCACGCAGCACCATCGGGGGCGTGAGTGGATATGTGGCATTGTAGGTATGGCCCACCGGCCCATTGTCTAGGCTGCGGGCATTTGCGAAGCTGCGACGTAGCCAGTAGCCGTCGGAGGACGACTGCGAGCCCTGGCGTGCAAAGTAGAAGAGCAGGATCAGACCAAGGGCGCAGGCTATCAGCAAGGCGAAGTGGTAGTTGAAGCGCACCGTCCGATTCCCGATCCTATACGTGGGCGTCCGCAGGGCCGACCGCCAGTCGCGCATATACATGGCGCGCGGCGAGTGATCCGCGAGTTCCCGTTCCTTGTAGACGAAAGCGGGGCTCTGGCTCTGCATCTAGCTGGTCGCACGTCAGCAAGATCTCGGCGGTGAGCGGTGATGTGTCGAATTTTCTTCGTCTGTGGACTTTTGTTTGGATGCTGGTATGGTGTGCCCGTTGCAGCCGCAGGTACACAGCTGGCGGTACAGCTGTTAGCTGAGCACAGTCGCTAATCGATGTTTCGATATTTTCTTGATTACCAACGATGATTTTACAACTTCACTAAATGAGTAAAACAAAAAATGAAATGAATACACTAATTAATTTATGTAATGGCCGAATTGTTTAACGAATTTTTCATAGCTAACGAAAGTATCGAAAGAAAATCACCTGTTGATTTTGCATTTGGCTTTATAGAAACATATCTGCACTATTTCAAAACCAGTATTATGCTTTATATAATACATAATAGAAATCTACGAGTATATGTATTATTATTATACACACGAGTAATAAATTATCAATATTCTTTGGTTCATATCGATGCCTATTCGATAAATCGACAAATGGTCACACTACTCTGTATATTTTTCTTCTTCTTCAGCGGCACACGTGCTAGCTGCTTGCGTTTTGTTTTTTTCGCAAATTATTCGTCGTAATTTGCGAAAATGCGCATCGAAACGTGTTATTTTTGCTCCAGCAAGATATACCCTGGCCACGGGGTGAACTTCGTTCGAAATGATTGCAAGGTAAGAAGAATTTACTTCCGTGTGAGCCAGTTATCAGATGTTTATTTTGGTTTCCTCTTTGTGTCTGAAGATTTTCAAGTTCTGTCGGGGCAAGTGCCACAAGGCCTTCAAGCGGAAGAAGAACCCCCGCAAGGTCGGCTGGACTAAGGCGCACCGCAAGGCCGCTGGAAAGGAGCTGGCCATCGATCCCAGCTTCGAGTTTGAGAAGCGTCGCAACGTGCCCATTAAATACAGCCGTGAGACGTGGGAGAAGGCGCTGGTGGCCATCAAGCGAGTGACGGCCATCAAGAAGCGTCGCACCGACCACTTTGTTATGGAGCGCCTCCGCAAGGGACGCGAGATGGAAATCAATATGGACGTCAAGGATGTGCAGCGCAACATGTCCCTCATTCGTTCGCCAGCCGCTGGCCTCAAGGAGCGACGCGCCAAGGAGGAGGCCGAGGAGGCTGCCCTCATGGAGGAGGATCTGCCCGAGGAGAAGATCACCTACGTGGATGCGCGCGAGCTCGAGAAGAGGCTCGAGGAGGGAATGGGAATCGAGGATCTGGAGATGTTAGAAGCCTAGGGACTCGTACACTGATTTTAGTTTTAGGACGCTTGCTATATAAAATACATAACATTAAAATAAAAACCCCGTGGTACATAAGTGTGGGGTGTGCGTCGCCTTTATTTCTGGGCCTCACTTATCCACTCCCTCGTCAGGTTGCTTTTTCTCCGGCGATTCCAGATTGATGGTCACGGGTCCGTCGTTCTCTATGTGCACCTGCATGTAGGCTCCGAACTTACCATCTATTGGAGGAAACAGGATTAAGATCTGCAGAAAGAACCTGCAGTTAGACCCACCTTTAATCTTGCTGCTGTCGTAGGACTGCCCTAGGCGGTCTAAGAATTGATTGTACAGCTGCTGGGCCTCCTCGCCCTTCATGGCCGCCGAGAAATCTGGCTTGTTACCCTTCAACCGGTGGTATAGTGTGAACTGCGACACGCAGAGGATCTCCAGATTCAAGTCCTTGACGGACTTCTGCCACCGCTTGCCCTCCTCTTCGAATAAACGCAGGGCCAGAATCTTGCGAACCCTAAAAACGGAATTATGGTGTCAAAACATTTACGGATGGGAATTCTCTTTGCAGTAATGGGAATTACCTACAGGTAGTCGACATCTGCGGCGGTATCACTGGCCTTTATACCCACCAGCACACACAGGCCCGGTCCGATTGAGGACACCAGCTCATCTAGCACTAAAGAAAAGTGTTGTCAGCGATTCAATCGGTGTTATCATTTTCAGTCCAAACATACCCGTCACTTTGGCGGCCCTAACCCTTTGTATAACCGCCCGCATTGATCTAATTTACTATATATTCTCAACTCAAATCGGTTCAGAGCATTGTTTCTATGGAAACAGTGCTAAAAAGTACCCCAAGATCAGTGTTGGGAACCATTTGAGAAATTCAAATGCAAGCGCTTCTTGTAAATAAACATATAACAGTATAATTGATATAAAAATCGGTAACATTGAGATAATACAAATACAATCAATATAATATAATTTGGTTATTTGGGAGAGTCTTTGAGCTCGAGGGTGGAATACTTGCTGGCCCTTTGGAAAGATTAAAATTTTATCTAGGCAATTATTAAATTCTAATTAAAAAAGATTTCCTATTCTAGCCCAGACAGAGAATATATAGGAGGGGCATTCTATTCAAAGGCTTTCAAGCAACAAATAGTAAAATGGTAGTTCTAAAATTGTATCTCAAGACGCAGCTTTATCTCAATTGAATTGAGCTTGGGCAGACATCCCGAGAGATATCAATTTATAGTTACCAATCTCTATTTCTCGCCTAATCACATCTGCTAAAAAGCTCTGATTATTAAAACTAATTGTAAATTGGTATTGCCCGAGGGGTTACGATATCACAGAGACGTTGGCGGGGCACTGAGCTGGAGCTTCATCTCGCACAGCTTCTTGATGTGCACCTGGCCGGTGAGTTCCGCCTGCCGCAGGATTCTCCGGATGTCCATCAGGCGCTCGTGCTTGTTGGCCAGCAGATAGGCGGACTTGAGTTGTCCGATGTAGATATAGGAGGAGATGCGCAGTTCCACACTGCCGATGCGATTGATAAGCCGGTCGAGTGTGTGCTTCGTCTCGGGGACGTTGCTGTGCACAGCGGCATTGATGGCAATGGAGAGGATCTCATCAGACTCTACGGAGATTCCTCCCCCACCGTCGCCATTATTGCTTCCAATGCAGTCGAGAAGGCGCTCCACCTCTGCCAGGCGCTGATTTCTGGCTAGATACTTGGCAGTGGGACCAAAGACCTTGATGGTGGCCAACTTGTAGTCCTGCATTATTCTGGAAGTGTAGAAAATATGATAGCCTAGAGTTTAAAACAATCTTTTAAGTATCAAGCTTACCCATAGGCCAGGCCAAATCCCTCGTCTATATTCTTTCCGCAAAGCAGAACCAGAATGGCCAGTTGGATTCGATCTGAGGCGCCTTCAAACAGCGTGGGCAGGGTGCCTCGGTTGGACTCCAGTCGGATCTTTAAGAAGAGCCATAGTTAGCGATCTTAAAAGTAAAAATTATTAAGATTTATCCTTGATTCTACCTGCTTTAGCGTTTGCATAGTTTTTAGCGGCTCATCAGGTGCCTGTTCCCGCTCGCATTTCGCCAGGAACTTGACCACTTCCAGCTGCCGCCGTATGGTGTTGATGTGTCCATTAAGAGCCCTAGCATCCATTTGCATGGCAAAGCAAGCGCCCCTTACGCTGGCAGCACTCGCCCCGCTGCCACGCCTTCCCTGGTGTTGCTGCTGCTGTCGTTGCAGGTGCTCCCACTCGGCGAGATCAAGCTCACCCTGCAGGTGCATGTGCGCCGATACCAAGTGCTGAGCGTTTGCCTGCATCTTCTGGAAGTTTTCGCAGTTCAGGGCGTAGAACTTCACGCAAGTCATGCTGGCCCTGATTGGATCCTTCAGGAGAAGCTGCAGTTGGTAAAGCGAATTAAGCTGTTGCTGCTGCTCTAGGTGGCGGCAGGTCTGAAGCAACGGCACACGCCACGAACTGAGCTGAGGATCCTCCATCTGCTGCAGTTCGTCCACCAGAAGTGGCAAGGTGCCGCACTGCAGCTGTGGCTGGAAGATGTGCTGGATGAAGAGATCAGCGTCCAGTTGATGGAGTTGCCAGTAGCGCAGGGCCGGGCGTAGCTCATCGCGAAGCATCAGGAAGGTCAAGATGTCACCGTGGCTCCCGTATGTGAGGACGTAGTGTAGGGACTCCTCAAAACCGCGCTCCTGTCGACGTCCTTCCTCGATGGCTGGTATTTGTCCGCCGTAGTTTCCCTTGGCTATATTTTTGAGCCCCGCCAGGGCGTTCATCACGTTCAAAGCCGGCTCCTGGAGCGGTCGTTGCTGAACATAGGGCTCCCGGCGTCGCGAAAAGAGAGAGGCTAGCGAAGAATTCGAGCTTCGGATGAGAGAGGCCCGGTGCAGAGTCTCCGGCTGGGGCTGAGTCTGCGGCAATGAAGCTATCAATAGAAGAATTTCCTGGAGCAAAGCAGGACCTCTTTGGGGTCGCTTCTTGGGCAGAATTGGGCAACTTTCGGTGGCAGTAGAGCCTCCAAAAATGGCCTTATAGATGCTGCTGTTTATCTGCTCGCTGGAAAGCCTTGTCATGCAGTGGGCGAACTTCTCGCGGGCTGCATCGTAGCAACCAGCACGCAGGCAAGCCAAACCATGAGCAGCCATCACGCCAGTGGTAGCGAACCCGAACTTGAGATGCACCTCTAGGGCCAGTGTCCAGTGTTCAGCCTCCACCAAGGCATCGGCTAGCTTGCGCAGATTGTGGTTGTTCAGAGGTCCTGCTGGTATCAAGGATTCACAGCCCTGCTGCACAACAGCCATAACGATCTCAGAGTGCTCGCGAATGTTCTCAAACTCTCCGGGGGCACCGCGAACCTAAATAAAATGCATTTTCTCAGGAAAATTATAAACTTGAAGATAGAAACTGTACTTACCTTGGCGGCAAAGGCCAGACAGTTGATCATCTTGGCCACCAGGCCGTAGTCCACTTCCGGATTCGGCACAATGAGCTTTTCCAGCTTGCGGCAGTGAAAGAGCAATAGTTCAACACAGCTTCGCTGTTCCACATGATGGCGGAGGATTGACAAGCTGAGGGCCACACTCGGTGCGTGCTCGTAGCTGAACTCCTCGCGCATCACCTTATCATGGGTGATAATCCCGCTGAGACGCCACTTGCAGACTTCGCTGCAACCCGAGGACGAACCAGATCCGGAGATATTACTCCTTTCACTGGAGACACCATCTCCTTGGTCCCTGGGAGCCGAGCTGCTGGCACAATCGTTGCAAATTCTCACCTCCAGTTCGTCGTAGAGCTCCGGAATGCGCATCCGATGGGTGGAGCAGGCGTAGCACACCACGCGGCCGCAGCGACGGCAGTGATGGCGTCTCATTAGCATGGTGAAAGCAGCCCGGCGACAGCACATGCAGTGACTGGCCTCCTCATCCCGTGTCCATTGCTGGCGGCTCGGAGCTTGCTTAGGCATCACAAAGGCGCCGCAAAGGGAATCCAGCGAATTCTGAACATCCGTGCCCAGGGAACTGGGCTCGGAGTCAGGTCTTAAATTGGCTACATGGTAGTCTAATGCCTTGCTGGCGTAAATCCGTAGTAGTAGGTCCAAGCACTCCTGGCCCACGAAGTGATCCTGCTGGTAGGAGTTAAAGTTCAGCAAGATAAAGGCTTCCGAAGTCGTTTGTCCCAATTGGAAGCGCACTTTGGCTGCAGTACCTCCGCCTGCTCCAGGTGATGAGGTGGGCTGGACATCGTAGACGTGACCGCGCTTCTCGAAACAATAGGGACATGGACCAAGGGGTTTCTCCTTCTGTAACTTCGTGCGAGCCGCCTCCAGCAGCTTGCCTAGAAGCTCAAACCGGGCATTCATTACCAGCTGCTCCACGATCAGCAGAGGATGTCTTAGTAATTTCCAAAACTGCAATCGCTCTGAAGGTGCCATTTGGCGGAGCAGTTCCAACGAGAGCTGGTAGTTCCTGTACAGCCGCGGGTCACGGGCATGGCCCTCCAGGTAATCGATCACCCACTGCAGCAGCGGCAGCGACCTGAACTTATCCTTGTGAGTGTCGAGAAAGTTAACCAGGGAACTGGGTGGGAACATCTCCACAATGCCCAACAGGTTCTCGTCCAGTTCTTCGCCGTCCTTCAGTTCCAAGAGAGCATCCAGCAGGGTCAGCAGGCACACTCTTTGCTGGCCTGCCGAACCGGCCAGGTAGACCACGCGGCTCCATTCGAGGCACAAGCCGAAACGACACCGTTGCAGCAATTGCTCGAAGATCACGTTTGGCGTCTGTCTGCCGAAATCGTAGGCTTGTGGCCAGCTCTCGAACTGCAGTAGAGCAGACACCTTGGCATATATGGTTATGTCCGACAGAGTGTGCTCAAGCTGGGAGCGCAGCAAGGGTGGGATCTCCTTGGCAGCCCTGTGGTGTTGAACGGTCCGTTCAATGAGCTCCCTGGCCAGCTGGCTGCTCGAGATGCGGGTGAAGTGCTCCTTTAGCAGACTGGCACGAAGGCCAAGGTCACTCATGTGCACCACGAGCTGGATGTGACGCGGATCTTGCTTGATCAGCTCTGCAATAAGGTGGTCGATCCTTGACTTGAGTTGCTCTTGAGATTCTAAAAGGGTGAAGGATAAAGTAGATACCTAAGAAACTCCCAAGGATCTCTACTCACCTGATTGATTACCCATGCCCAGCAGCAGGATCTGCAGCAGTTGCTCCCGATCAGACACTAATTTCTCCAAGCTTACGCTGTCCAACTTGTAGGTATTCAGGGCGGCCAGCACGCGATTTCCATCATACATGCCAGCCAGGCACTCCACCTCCGGCATTTGCATCAAATGTTCCAGGCAGGAAAAGTCCAAGCCCAATTCGCTATCCGGCAGGCTGCCCAGTTGCACTGCCTGCAGAATCTGGGCAAGCAGCTGGTTGTGCTGGGCCATGTAGTTGTGGATGGATTCCTGTTTTTGCGGCGCCACCACCCGTGGTAATTTCTTCGCCGTGCTCGTCGTTGCTTCTTCTCCCAACTCGGGACAGATGTTGAGGGCAATCACATGGACGAGATTCAGGTGAAGTGCAGCCACACTGGACTCGATCTCCAGCGGCGTGATTCCACACTCATAAATCAGCTCTCCTATAACTTCGTAGGGATCGTTTCGGAGGAGTTGCGAATTGTGATACTCCAGATTGGGATCCCTGAGCTGTAGGAGGCGTGCCAATTGCTGAACATAGTTGCAGAAGCGGGCATAGTAATTCCATCGCGATCGAAGCTGCTGGAACTGTCCGGCATTCGCCCTTAGCTCCTGACCATGTGAGTACTGAGCAGGTTCCCGTCCGTATATGGTTTGAAAAGCGGCTTCCCGCTGTAGCTGCATAGCCAGAACCGAAGGGCGCAGGGGATAGCTCTGTCGGGACAGTAGCTTATTTAGAGCGGGCTTCTGGCCAGATCTCTCCAAGAGACGCATACACTCGCAGAGATTTTGCAGGAGGTTCATGGCGCCAATCTCAGTCGAGTTAGAGCTTGAAATGGCCTCGTCGCCGGTCACCTTAAGCTGCTGCTGACGGCGAATGACCAACAGCAGATTGCTCGTAATCTCACGGTTGAAGCCCAGATTCACAATGAGGTCGCAGATGATTAAAGCGTTCAGGTTGCGCTCCTCGAACTGCTGCAGGAAACCGGACTGATGCCGCAGGATAAGCGCCTTCAATTCCGGACTCTGCTGCAGGCGCTGAGCCTGGGCGAAGTTGTCTACCACACTAATGATCTTGGACAGCTCGAAGCCCTTGGCTGCCACGCCCTTGATCTGTTCCACGGTGGTCTCATCTGAGTTTGGGTGGCGTGACTCCAAAGCCTGGTAGTTGTCATAGATGGTGGCCAGCTTTTGCTTAACCAGCTGCTGCTGCTCCATGAACTGAAGCTCTCGATTAAGCTGGCTCTGTTCCAGGTGGAAGGTCTGCTGGGACATAGAAGAATGATAACGAGAAAAGATTGGAGGATTTAGGGAACTCACCTCGATGATCTGCTTGACATCATTAAAGTTTTTGAGGGCCAGTGCCATGATTGCCAGTTGCTCCGGTGTACTTAACATTTTTGGAATGATGGAACGCTCGCCGGGAGAACTGACGCAGGAGTTCTTCCTGCCATGGCTAGAGAGCAACTGGGCCCGGGCTCTGTACTGCTCCATGGGGAGTCCTCCGTCTGTGGGAGTCTTTAAAACCGCTGCTCCACTGAAACTAACCGCCCTTCGTTGCTTTCGGACCTTTCTCCTGCTAAGGCTGGATGCGTGGTTGCTGCGTTCTCGGCTCTCGTCTTCGCTGGAGGCCTTCTCCTTGGCCGTGCTGTGCAGTTGAACTAACTGCAGCAGCTGTTCCGGCTCCAGAAGGCAGTTTAGAGAAGGTGCCGAAGCAGCCAGAGACTGATCGATCTTGTTAAGGACCCCCAACTTGCACAGAGTCTCATTGACAGCGTCCACAAGTCGTTGGAATCTCTGGTGATGCTCCGCGGCGCACTTGTAGTCCTGCGAGTGCAGTTTCTTGGTGACAAAGGCCCGGAGAAAGGTGAAGAGGGCTTGTAGCGAGGGCGAGCGACAGATGAAACCATATCGCGTCCGCAGACTGTAACTTGGAGCGGCGGCAGGTCGCTGTGGTTTCGTGACATCATCATCCACATATTGTTCGTCATCATCTTCTTCGTCATCGTCGTCTTGCTCTTCCCTCCTCTTATGAGGGCTCTGGTCCAGCTGCTCCCAGCGCAGGAAGACCAAAAGGAATATGTCCTCTAACAGAGAACACAACGTACCCAGCTGATGAAGTTGCCTCATTTGTCCGGAAAGCTGCACCAACTTGGCCTTGGTTGACTGTTCGCCCTGATCTAGAATCATATTGTAGACATGACAGAGCGCCGTGTAGTAGCTGAGGATTTCCGTCTCCTGCTGGTAAAGGCACTTTAGTGCCGGAGTTTGAAGCTGCCATTTGTGAGTGTCCTCGAGTAGACCGAGCAGCTCTTGGTGCTCGCATTGTATACCGTAGTCGTGGATCAGGGGGAGCACGCCCGGCGCCCGCAATAGAGCCTCCACTTTGAGGGTTTTGCTTGCCTCCCTCGGTTGCAGAAAATTGAGCATAGTGGCCAGGCGCTGGAAGTCGGCGAAAAAGAACTTGTGCACTTCTTGCAGCTCTTCGGACACTGCAGCAGGGTCAAACTCCTTCAAACACTTGTCCAGGCATCCCAGCTCATCCAAGGTCTGGGTTCCCAGCGTAAACTCATTGGCCAGACGCAGGATAAGCAAGGTATTCCTTAGTGTGCGATCCTGGAAGCCTTCAAAATCTTTTAGCTGCTGGCACATAGTGGCCACGAAGTGCTCCTGTTGGTCCTGGGCTAGCCACAGGACCAATTCTCGGGTGGGTGCCACTGCCTCACTGCACTGCGTTCGCATGACCTGTTGTTTTTCGTGAAGGACATCTTCCAGCAGTGTACCTTCTGTTCGGGCCAGCAGCGCTAACAAAATATGTTCTTTGCTTGCTGAATCATACGCTAGGCGCGTCATTAGCTTCTGGCGTAGCGTGGCTGCTTCCAAAATGCTGTCAGGAAAGTTTGCCAGAAAACAAAGAGAACTCGACGATGAGATATCGCCTTCAGTTAGAAGCTGCTGCAGTACGGCGGCTATGATTTGTCCGATGTGCAGCTTGGAATGAACCTGCAGCAGCTGTAGTAACTGCAGGGCGGGATAGGGTGACTTCCGTAGAATGGTTTGCAAGGCATTCTGATGGGCTTGCACTGGTCCTGTGGCCTTGCCATGAAGCCACTGTATAAAGGTCTGAAGGAGCGATATTTATAACGAAATAGAGGGTTAAATATCATCGAAGTACTGACCTCGAAAACTTGCCGCTGTTCCGCGGACAACAAGTCCAGTAGTTGGCGCTGATTATGTTCCTGTAACTCGGCCATTGTGGGTCACCTGTTGCTCTGCCTCGAGAGTCCAACTTTGTGTACTCTGCTCTTCTAGAGTCGCTGGTTCATTGTTCGATCGGTCTGCTGACTTCTAAGTGCAGCCGCTGATTGCTGATTTCGCCTATACATATATCTCAATGCGGGCTTGCGTTTTGCTCTCGCTTTTGTTCAGGCGGCCCCTGCACTCCGCAGAGCAGCTGTTTAAGCTTCAGGCTTCCACGGGCAAGCGGGAGACGATAAGAAACACCCACATATTATCTTCGACCAGCCGGATCGATCTTGGAAACGTTCAATAACAAAGACAATTAGAGATGCTAGAGCTTCGATTTAAATATCGATACCTCGATGATTTTCACCATCCGTGTTTCCAATCTAAATAAGCCACGTAAACTTTATCTGAAAAGGTATCTTATGACCAGAATAACAATAAATGGCAGTTTGAAGAATATTTACGTTGTTGTATATAAAAATGATGATATATGCATGAACTCCGAAGGCCTGAAAAAATACCAAAACAAATACTTATCGACTTTTCGATTGCGCCTTTCAGTATTTTCAAAACATCCCATCTCTAGAGAAAAATGAAAAGGCGGGAAGTTCAACCAGCTGTTTCGTTCAAAATTGATAATAAGAAGGGTTAATCTTTTGCCTGTTTAAAATATGAATTCTTTTGTTTATTTTAAATGGGCCAATTTTCTAAAAATGGAAAAAATATCTCTCAATGATCGCTATAAGAATTATGGATTTAAATTAAGAAATTTGATAAAAATGTAATAAAAATCAAATGCATTTTCTATGCATTGTTATAACTCCATCCAAATACCAAAACATGTTAAATTGTTTTTAAAACACGTTAGTTTCACACTTTAATATGCAATAGTTTAGTTCAGCAAGTACATTGAAATACATAGCGATTTACAGATATAACATACACGCGCACACACATCGTACAGATACTGAGACGGGATGCATTACTGACTCAACGCAAACCAATTCAACTAGAAATACAATCAATTTCCTTTACTATCACAAAAGTCGTCGCAACTGAGGAAAGGAGGAGGGTTGGTGGTAGGAGGGGCGGAGGAATCGAACTAACTAAATTGAAATAAGTAAATCGATTTTGCAGCGACTGGCGAAATTTTCTACAGCTTGCCAATTTTGGGTTGTTTCGAACATCATTCTTGTTTACACATTTTGGTAGATTGTCTTTCTGCTTGAAAATTCATAATGTCACCTACACAACAATTCCCTTTCATTCGCTAATTTCTAGTTTTTGCTTCGTTTCATTTGCATAATTTTTAATTCTCAATTTGTTTTTAACTCTCGATTATGTAGATTTTGTTTGCTAATACATGTAGGTCTAGATTATATATGATACTTAGGGTAAGATTGGGGTAGGGGCACTTTTTCCATAATTTTACTGTTCATTTGTACTTAATTTTGAAATTAAATTAGATGTATTTTAATTCATTAAAAAATTATATACAGTTTTGTTTTGGAAATATTATACTTTAAAGTTTCTTTAAGAAGAAATAAATAAAGCAGGTCACTTTTAATTTCAATTACAAAAAACTTCCTTTGGAATAATTAGATATATGTATTTACTATATGGAAAAAGTGTCCTATCTTCGATGAACCGAAGAGCAATTTGCACGATTCTTAAGTTTAACTAGACAACATTTCGCTTCAACGTTATGTTTATTCCAAGCATAGCTGCGCGGTCTCTAATTTTGCTTTCGACTGTCATATGTATATCGTTACGTATATCTTCCGTTTAGTTGGACAAACAACACTTATATATGGATATTATAGGTTGGGGGGCAGCACTATCCCCTGCAGAACACAACTTAAGTTTAATTTTTAAATTCCCTATCGTTGCTTAAATGGAAATGTACACACGTATACGTAATAAACACACATTGAGTATTGCTTAGCTCGAAGGATTTTACTAGCTTGCTTTTCTTTGCTTCTTTCCCGGCTTTGGGTTGGTTGCCTTTCTCTTTGGTTTAACGACGATTCACTCGAGTATTAAATATCACTTATAGGGGCATTGTTCCATATCGAAAAAAAGGGAGGGGAGTATTATCGACAACGGTATTGGAATCCGCATCCGTCCGGTCTAGACGTAGTAGGCGTTGTAGGGATTTCGCTTCTCCAGACAGGGCAGCACACACTCCAGCGTATTGCGGAATGCCTCGCGGAAGTCCCGATTAAAGTAGGCATATATAAGCGGATTCAGTGTCGAGTTGAAGTAGCCGATCCAGAAGAGCACCACCACCAGAACATCGGGGCAGGGGCAGGCCGGGCCGCACAGCGATGTGATGACATACCTGGCGAAGAGTGTAAGTGAGAGACGAGTCACATCGGGGATGAGCCGACCCACAACCGCTTGTGGACTTCGGATTACGGATTACGGACTACGTACTACCGACTACGGACCACCACTTACCAGAGGAAGAAGGGCAGCCAGCAGAGCAGAAAGACACCCATGATGATGCCCAGGGTGCGGGCGGCCTTGTGCTCGGCCTTCCATCCTTTGGCCGGACGAACGGAGCCGCCTGTGGAGGGGCAGATAAAGAGTTTAGGACAGCGCAATGAAGGAAGGCAATTGGCTGATTAAGTTCAATTCGATTCGATTCAGTTCGATTCGATTCGCCTCGGTCGCCGCCCATTCTTTGGGACATTGACCAGAGTCAAGTTCTGGCTAAGCCATAGCAGTTGACGGTTTTCTAGATCGTCTGTTCTTGTGGCTGTCTGTGTGGTTACACTCAGGAAAAAAATGCAGTGCCTGTGCTAACAGAAAATTAAAGATTATTGCACAGCTCATAAATCGTTTCTTTGTGCTATTTGTTTTTAAATTTACTGTTTAAATAAAACCTTCAAGTCTATGTTAGACAAAGCAATAACCTATTTTTATACTCTTACAAGGGTGTTATAAGTTTAGTTAAAAGCTTTTAACGCTGTGAAGGAATTATTTCCTACCCTATAAATCATATATATTCTTGATCAGCATCAACAGCTGAATCGATATAGCTATGTTTTGTTAAAAAAATAAATTTTGAAAAAATTTTGAAAATCTTATAAAGAGTTACATCGTTAAAATTGTCAAAAATTTATTAAAAAAATGCAATTCTCTGAAATGCTAAACTAAATATGCAGTTTTATTAGCCCATAAAAAACTAATACAGGGCAGCTTTTCGAATTAAAATGAATGCATTTTTGGCTTAGCTATGTGTTTTTTAAGTTTAGACTTTTAGGCCGAATTTGCATATAAAAATTTAGATAAATGTCGACTCAATAAATGGTATTAAAATTTTAGTTAGAAGCGTAAAACGAAGAGAATTAAGCATTTCCGACCCTATAAATCATATATATTCTTGATCAACATCAACAGGCGAATCTTTTTAGGCATGTAGGAACGGATAATTTTTTTGTCATTTTTTTTTCAAATTTTATACGGGGTTACATCGTTAAAATTTTCAAAACTGATAAAAATTTGCATTTCTTTTTTTAATTTTAATTGAGTTAGCAGATTTGTTAACTTAATAAAAATTAACATTGGAATGGTTTCCGATTTGAAATTATTGCTTTTTTGGCTTAGTTATGAGTTTTTTAAACTTTGCTTTCTAGAAAAATATTTCATATAAAAGTAACGATAAATAGCGAATCCCTTAAGCTTATCATCAATTTCCGATAGTTCATATGCTTCTATTTTTTTTCTGAGTGTAAAATGCAAAAAAATACGGGTTATGTTCATTTTATTGCGAGAGAAAGTGGATGCCGGGCATGTTGCGTATACGCCGTGTGGGTGACGGGTCGTGTCCTGGCATGTTTAACTTTGACATTAGTAATGCTGTTGCTGTATTGCTGTGTTGTGCGAGTATCGAGGACCATCCAGTTACACCGCCTCCCCCTTGGCCCAGAGCCCCAGTAACTGTCATTAAACTGCTGGAAAGGCTAACATGTGCTGTGTCTTCGTGCACGGGTGTGTGTATATGCGGGAAAAGTAATAAAAACGAGGCAAACAATTGAAAATATTTACACAGGACACTTGTTATCACAAAGACATACAAAGCCCCGCATTAAATCGGTCACACTCGAAAAAAAAGCACTTGGTAGTTGTTGTTAAAATTAATCTAAGATCTTGGAAAGTAACAAGAGAGAAATTTCATTTCCTGGCACCCAGGAAGTTTATAGTTATAATAGTTATACAACAACTTCTATTGTTATTTTTTTATTCTCAAGGCTTTATTTTTTTTGAGTGCACCAATCCGCCCGCACAAACATAAACATAAACATCACTCGAAACGTCGGGCGGGGGAGCCAGGAAGGAAAACAAATCAGACGGACAGCACTGAGCAACAGGAGGAAGCGGCGGACAGCCCCCATCCTTGGAGGCCATCCGCTGATGGATGCCAGAATGGGGGATGGCCAGAACCAGGTGAAATCATAATGCAAAAACGAATGGCAAAGTGAAGGAGGAGCAATAAAGCAAAGCAAACGCACGTGCAAACGGAAGCAATTATGTACAGCTTGAGAGCGGAGTGGAAAGGCGGGAAAGCGGAGCGAGCATGAGGCATGTGAGGTGGTGGGCGGCAGGTGGGCGGCAGGGCAGTTGGTTTCGTGGGCGGCGTAAGTGTGTGTGTGTGTGCGACCCTCCGGATTTAGTGGCCTAACCTGGTTAGTAGGGTATCGAGATAAGAAGGTGCCAAAAACTGGCATATCTCTGGGGATTTAGCCATCAGGTTAAGTCAAGTGGTGAGGGAAAAAAAATCCTTTTGTTTTCAGCTTAAAATTGTTTTTAGGTTGACAACTTTTATATTCAGATAGTTTTTAATAAAAAGTAATACAATTTTAATAATTTAATAATTATTTTCTTAACAAAAGTTGTTTTTAATTACGGTTAAGGTACTAAAATATTTAAATTCCAGTTTATATATTAAAACATAAATAATATGAACTGTAAAATATATACAGTACTCTGAAATATATTTTCCAGACTGATTTAATGAAAACTACATAAAATGGAAAGCTTTTAGAAGGACTAAGCAGAAATGATCTGTGAAGGATATGAGCAATGTCAATACTGTTTTGAATGGAAATATATACAAATGCATATAGAAAAGCAAGATGATCCTGACTTAATACAAAATGAAAGTAAACATATGAGGATATCCAGATGCATTCTGGACATGATTGACACTGGCTGGCAGCTGGTGAAGCATGAAAGTGAAAAGGTGTTGGTAGAATCATGAGGCAGGTGCTGGAGCTGAGAGACAGGCGGAAAGTCAAAGAGTGTGTGAACAAGAGCGGGATAGAGGAACGAGGGGGGGATACGACAAGACTCACCGGTTGCACCACAGTGACTGCATCCGGTCTCGAAGCGGCGCTTCCGGTTCTTGCTCTGCTGCCAACATGCCGTTACCGCCGCCCTGCGATTGTGCCAGAAGCGAGTGGACCTGGACCGCGAACCCTGGCCAAGATCCGGAGCTGTGGCGTGACTACTACGTTTACTACTAGCACTTGGACTTGCGCTTGCACTGGCACTAGCACTTGGTGGAACTTTGGTGGTGGTTTCAGTGGCTGTGGTGGTGCCGGCGTTTGCGTTTGCGTTTCGGTTGGTGGTGGTGGTGGTGTTGGTGGTGCTGATGTCGGCGCCGCAGAGCGGACACTTGGGCAGCGGACTGGACACCGGGGCGAAGGTGATGCCGCGGGGCCGCTGCTCAATGATCTCCGCCTCCTCCTCATCCACAAATATGCAGATGCCGCCGCGTCGGATCAGCGAGGATTTATTGGAAAATTCGTGCTCTGCCATTTTTCGGGATTTATTTATTTTGTTTTGTTGGAGTTGGAGAAGAAGTATTCGTTTTTTGGTTGGACATAATTTTGGTGATTTGATTTTACATATATACACATAGAACACACACAACGAAATGCCGTGGAAGAGATAGGAGAAAGAGAGAGAGAAAGACAGATAGAGACGAGAGTACAGTACAGTGGATAACAGTAGTTGACAGGACACTCTTTTCTCGGAAACATATAGAAGTATCACATGCACTGGAGGCACTCCTCCCATGCACCGGCAAACGCAAAGGATCGGGAGAATATTGGGTGAGGATAGGATTCAATAATGGGGTCGGTCCAGTCCCTTCTGCTCTTCGTTTGCAGGTGCAACCAGCTAAAAACTAGCACTAATCTATGAAAAGCTTATCTAAGATACTCTCTATAAGGATTATATTTTTAAACTTCTCCAATGAAGGGTTCTAATGAGTATAATATAAGCTTCAAGAAGCGTAACGCCATACAATTTATTGCTTATAACTCAATGATGCTCTCAAGATGATCTGCAAATGTTTATTCAAGAGTATGTGCGGTTTTCATCTTGTAGCTTATGTATATTATATTTCATTTTAAACTCGATCAATTATACTAACTGCTTTTAAGAAATTCGGTATATTTAAGAGGAAAATGTATACATGTTGAAGAACTCCAAGGAATTATTTGCAATGCATTAGGGATTTCTATTGTTTTTTTTTATATAAATAAACTTCCCTTAATTAAGTTGATTAACTTTCTATTTGAAACTAAAAAATCTGTACAAAATACAACGAATTTCCCAAAGAAAGATGCTATTTATTTTGAAGGGAATCCCGTTTTAATTACACAACACTAGCCATTATCCTTGCTACTCACTTGCTGAACTCGTGGACACGCGGCCCATGGGAATGTAGCTGCGACTGTCGCTGTTCTCCTGCGAAAAGTTTATGACGTTCACGTCATAGGTCACCACGGATGCCTGTCGCTTGCGCACCGTCTGGATGCCATCGTAGCCCGCCAGGATGCTGCAGCGCTGTCGAGCTGCTCCGCCTCCCCCACCATTTCCGCCGGAAACGCTCACGTCCGCATCGCCATTGCTATCTTTGCGCTTGAACAGCGGCGACGTGACATCCTTGTGCTCGTCGGAACCGGCCTCCACGGGCGACAGTGTGGAATCAAGTATGATCTCCGGCTTGGGTGAGGGCATTTGGGGATTTGGCTGTGACGGCACCGGGACGGGCACTGGAACGGGCACTGGCAGGGTGGTCACCACATCCAGGGACACGGTAGAGGTGTCACTGGGCGTATAACCGGGTCCGGCGGCATGCGGCGGCGGCGACAGGAAGTACACATTGATGGACGCCGGCTGCCCGTTACTGTTGGCATTGGAGTCCATGGCGGCACCGTTGCCCGCGGTCTGCGGAGCTGGCGTATTCGGTGGGGACATCAGGTAGTTGGCGCACACCTGGTCGCTGAGCGTGCTCAAGCGCTGAGGAGCACCGGCCGGTCGGCCCAGCGGAAAGCTGAGAGACCGGAAGATCTCCGCTAGCTCCGAGCTGCTGGCAATGAGCAGACCACTCGGCTCCGGCAGTTCGGGCGGCGACAGCGACGGCGGTGGGGTGGCCGGCTGCTGGGGGGATTCCCCGAAGCAATCCGCCAGCTGGGCCAGCTCGTCGTCGCTGCGCCGAGGCCGGAGCTGGGAGTCCGGGGTCTTCACTTCGCTAAAGTCAATCAGCTGGACGCCGTCGCTAAACTGCTGGATTACGCTGGCGCCGTTCTGCTCGCTGAGCACATTGATGTCCAGCAGGATGTCCGGCTTGTTGGGCGTCGAGTCCGTGTCACTGTGCTGCCGCTGGCGTCGCTCAAGTTTGCGTTCCTTACCGCCGCCGCATCCGTTGTAGCTGTGCGACAGCTTTCGGTTCCGGGCGCGCCGGAAAAAGCTGGAGCCCTCGGAATTGGCCTGGTGTCGCTTCCGCTCCAGTGCAAAACACTCGGCACTGGAGCGCTTCGTTTTGGCCAGCAGCGAGAGGATGTTGAAGCCCTTCTCCTTTCCTGTGGGCAGCGCCTGATCCTTGGTGGCAGCTCTGGACTCGCTGATGGTGCGCAGGAACTCTGAGTCACTGGCCGCATATGGTTTCCGTCCACAGGCCGCTGCTCCGGCCTTGAGGCGGATGAAGTCCGTCTCGCTGAGGGCGGCATACTTGCCGCCTCCAGGACCGCTGATGATGGTACCTCCCGTTTGCCGCTTAAAGTACAGGTAGTTGTCTTCGATGAGCCGCTTTAGTTCTTTGTTATCCTCGGCCAGCGGCAGGTGGGTTTCGTACAGGTCGGTGCCCTCGCTCTCGTCGCTGTTGAGCCCGAAGACGCGATAGGCATGCGACTCCTGCTCAGGTTCGCTGTTCCCGCTGCCGCTGGTCAGGCTGAGCTGCTGCTGCGGTGCCGTAGGATGAGAAGGATGCGGCTCTTCCACATCCTTTATTGGCAGCTTGCCCTCCGTCCATATCTGCGGGTTGAACAACGGCACTGGTGGCTGCAGCTGGTTGTGCGAGGGCTGGAGCTGCTGCTGCAAGGCCATCATCGAGGGAGCACTGTCCGTGTGCGTGACCTTCTCGTATCGTTCCTGCTCCAGGTCACGCAGATCGATGCTGCTCCTGCTGAGACGACGTGGCGGTGGCGAAGGGACTCGCAGTTCATCGCACTCGTCCCTGTCGTCGTCCTCATCGGTGGCCGGCTGCAGCATGTCCTGTGGGCATACACGCGACAGGGGAATGAGTCGTGCGTTGGCAGGACCACAAAGAAAAGGGTCCCTTATCCTTATCCCCTCAAGAAAAAAGAATACAAGACTCACCTCCAAGTTGCTCAGCGCACTTTGCGTCTCCTCCCGCGCCGAGTGCACATTAAGATCGCAGTCGCTGGGATGCAGATAGCTCAGGTTAGTGGGCTGCTGTGTGTGCCCCATGTGGACGCTGTTCAACAGGATATTAGAGCTGGTTCGACTCAAAGCTTTGCGCTGCCGGATGGCCTCCCTGGAAAAAAGGGGCGAGAAAAAGACCCGGAGGCGGCGGCAATTAAGCAAGCCATCAACATCGGCCGGATGGGGGGACCAAACCAGCCACATCCTTTCTGGGCCACTCACTTAAAGATGCGCCAGTACATCACCAGCATCACGATGCCGGGTATCCAAAAGCTGACCGAACTGGAGATGAGGGCGTAGGCCTTATTGACCACAAACGAGCACTGGTCCGGGTGGAGGGACACCTCCCTTAGATGCTCCTCGGTGGTGTACCAGCCCAGGAAGATGGGCGTGAACGAGATGAGGGCGGGCAGGATCCACACGTTGGCGAGCATAAAACAGACCGTTTTGTGTGTCATATTCAGAGGATACTCCAGTGGACGCACTATGGCGTAGTATCTGTCAAAAGGGGAAGTGGAAAGGACGAGGAGGTCAACTTTATTAATGGAAATGAATTGCGGACAGGGCCCAGCCGCAAAAGGTGGCAGGTGGTTGTTTGCCTCAAGAGGAGAAGGAGCGATTCGAGGCTCTTGGCACTATAATTGATGGCCAACAGGATAATCACGCTTTCTTAAACATTTTGCCAGGCATGAAAATCAAGTTATAAAACCATAAAAAGGCGAGGGTATTTAATTACTGTATAAATGCTGAAGACAATTACTTTTTATTTCCGATTTTGAGGGTTAAGTTTTAGTAATGTTACTGAGGCGAAAAATTTATTTCTATATGGAATTTGGATCTTTTTCGGAACAATATATTAAAAGGAATATTAAATCAGTCTCAATATTTTCTGATCTACTATTAGCTTAGATTTATACTTTTCAGATAAAAATATAATAAATATGCATATTCTGATGAGCAGTGTCTCTGTCACCCTTATTAATTTCCATAATTAATTTTCTAATTTCGATCGCTGCTGATATATATAGTTTCCTTTGTTTCTGTGACCAGAGCGAACAAGGTGAGCGAAACACAAATTAATTAAAACAGACAAAGAGGCTCTGTGGCAGTGTTGGCCATTGGCCAATGGCCATTGATGGTCAGTCCGGGTAGGCGCAGCTGTTGGCCTGCCTCCCAAGTTGGGATATCGCCCAATTAACGGCTTGCGGGGAGCACAAATGGGAGGAGATGGGCAGGAGAACAGGCAAGACCGAGTATAACACGCCCAAATCATTTGGGCCACATTCATCATACGGGCGGAGCCTAATGTTTGCTTTGATGTGCGCGCCTTTCACGGTAATTAATTGTTTCTACTTCGCCCTGGCATTGAAAGTGATTTCGGGCAGCTGGGCAAGATTAATGGTCCGGCCGGATTTAAAGAGATCCAACTTAAAACCGCTCAATATAGTCTTGTCATACCTGTCCACCGATATACAGCATAGATGCAGGATGCTCGCCGTGGAAAAATAAACATCCAGGCTGTTGTACACGTTGCACATGAACGGCCCGAACATCCACTTGCCGCCGGAGAGCTCCACGGAGGCGTTGAACGTCATCGCACAGAGGGCCACCAGCATGTCGGCCATGGCCAGCGACACGACAAAGTAATTGGTTATCACCCTGCGAACGAAACAATAGAGCCGGAATTAGTGGGTTTTACATGCGAGATGTATGTTATGTTTTGACCCTGTCCCATCAAACAAACCAAGCACTCGTCATAGGGAGTCAGTGGAGTGACCACGCTGAAATGGAATAGAATCCGGTGGCTAAACACACACACAGCTTTGTTTTGCTTTCCATTTACGCTTAGTTCACCTGCATGCAGCAATTTCTTTGGCTGTAACAAGTAATTTGACCACCCAGGAGTCAGCTGCCAAGGTCTGAGTCACATGAAGGTATTATCTGGCCTCTGAACAAAGAGTTGTCAACGAGGATATAGCACTTATATTGCACTCATATAACTATCATAAACGAAAATTAAAATAAATCTCTAAAAACATATATATATCTATCTTTTCTTGAGCAAAGTTAATGACAAAACAACAGCATAGGAAAGCTTTGTCCTTGAAACTGATGAGTTTCATAAAAGAAACCTTTGTATTTTGATTTTAATTTCAGACAAATAATTATGCAGTCTTATGCAAACTCCTTCTTCAGCATTTCTATAAGAATGTCCTTGCTTCAGTTCAGTAAATTTTATATATTATCCTAACGAGATCTTATATGCCAAGCCAGTTACGTTTTATAATAATGCAATAAACGATAATCTGAGCACTTTAAGCTTATTTTTTTAGTAGCGTGATAAACTCTTTAATCAGAGCCTGCCTCTCGAACGCATAAACGTTGCGCAACATTAAGCGTGGGCGGGGCGGGGCGGTAAAGGCGTAACAGGGCGGCTCTCGAGCCCAGCGCTGAATGGTATGCTACACTTATTTGCACTGCACTCTAGGGCGTCCTGTCATCGCGACGCTATAGCATGCTGTCATGGCAGCAGCGATGGGCTGGTGTCTCCCTGTGTGTGTCTCATTTAACTTCGTTTTGCGCTTTATTATTCCACTTGTCGCTCATTTAAATTACATTTATTACGCTGGCACAAAGAGGTTGCCAGCGTGTTTTCTTGTGTTTGCGAACTGCATTGTTGTGAGAAGCGCTCGCGGCAATGACCGTCAATTAAGCCCAGGTGACTGAGAAGGTGCAGTGTTGGCAATGCTACCCTTACAAAAAATTCCATAAAGCATTCCATAAAATTCCAAGCTAGAAAACAGCGGAATTATAAAACAAAAAAATTAAGGATTAAATAAATTCTCTTTGAGTTATTTTTGTTTGATTATTCATGAATGAAATATTCTGTGATGACTAAATACCTTCAGAATAAATAATTATTCAAAGTGATTTAAAATATTTATAATTATATTTTTCAAAGAGCGGACAATATTTAATTCTGGCCATTCTGAAACCCCTGAATGGGCTGCCTGAGGAAAGCAGTAATTGGATATAAAGACTTACCGTAGCTTTCGATTGCGTTGGACGGAAATGATGACCAATGCATTGCCCAGGACCGCGGCCAGGATAATTGACGAGAAAATGAATCCTTTAAGCAGCAGGAGTGACATATCCAGCCAGCTCTCCTCCAGCTCTTGGCTGGGATCGATGATGATGTTGGTGGCATTGCCTGTTGTGTTTGCTAGGAGCTCAAAAGGGGCCTCCGAGGACGAGACGGAGGAGTAGGAGGAGAAGTATTCAAAGGACGAGGACGAAGTGGCTGTTAACGATAGCGAAGTCAACGAGGCATCTACAAATTGTGGGGTTATAGGCAGACTCGTTGTTGATGTTGTTGTGGCAGCAGTAGAAGCGGCAGTAGCAGCGGCAGCAGATGTTGCAGTTGTGGTAAGAGCGGTGGCTAATGTTGCTGCTGGTTGCAGGAGGTGGCTACTGTTGCCAGTGGCTAAAGCTGATGTTGAAGCTGATGCTGATGCTGATGTCGATGTTAATGTGGATGTTGCTGTTGTGACGCTACCTGCTACGAATGTTGCAATCGATTTGCTCAGCCTGCCGGAGGCTGCTGCTGTTGCCGCTGTGGTTGCTGCTGATGTTGCTCCTGTTCCTGCTGCGGGCAATGTCATTGTCGTGGCCAGAAGAAGGTCAGTAACTTTGGCCTCCGACATGTCTTCAATTTCCCCTTGTTCACTTGAGACGACGCGTCCTGATTAAAGTTCCCCGTTCCCAGCCATCATTACGCGGGACTTATCTCTGGCCCGATGCTGTGCGTAAGTTAAAACGCGAGTACGCGTAATTGCAATCTGCAATGCAAACAAGCCCGCGAAAGTTCGTCCTCATCCTGGCTGTGGCTCCTGCCACGGCTCCTCCGTCGTGTTTCGAGTGTTTGCTCAAAGCTCCGACCGGGCTCCACTCCATTTCCCAATCCTCCGCAGGCTGCTTTTCCCTCTAGTCCCCTCTCGAGTTTCCTGAATTGCTGGCGAATGGCGAGATGTCGGCGACACGGGAACTGCAAATGAATAAATAAATAATTTATGAAATAATCGAAGAGCGTGAGGCTGTGAAACTGCATGAGATTGGCAAAATGAGACTGTGAACTGCGAACTGTTGCGCCCGTGGGGCTTTTATGTCCATCTCTGTATATACAAAATTCAAGCGCCATAAACCCCATTTTGACTGGCATATTGATTTGCCGGAAGAATGACTCACCCAGAGTGCTGTCATTTGTCTGTCCGCCATTTCAACTTTTCTCACACTACATTTAAGCATATAAAAAAATAAAATAAATATAACAGAAATACATTGCGTATACGCAATGTGTGCGCCCGACATGCAATGCATTCTCTGGGAAAACTCAACGCATCTGCATTTCTATATCCCCACAGCTGCCAAGTGCTGACACTTGTGGGTATATACAATATATACACAGACAAGTTGTTGCTTTAAAAGTGGGATTAAAGCGAGCTTATCTTCGCATCTAGGGGAAAAGTTTTTATGGTAGCTTTCACATTATGTTTTCAGTCAAATCTGCCGAATCCATTTGTCTGCAGAGCTGGTTTTAAGTAAAACAAAAGACTTAATCATAATCTTCTGAATTATTTTAAGTCAATGGGGAAAACTCAATTTGACCGTAAAAAAGCTAGCACATCATCTCGGAGAAACTAAAAACAAGCTTAAGCTTAGCCAGTTACTCGCACATTGAGTTGAATTTGAAATGTCCTTGGCAGAATACATAAAAACATATAAAGGTTGCTGGGTACAAGTTTTTATTCAACTCGTGTAACGAAAGCTGCTGCCTAGCGTAAACTGGAAAAACAATGAATAGCCCAAATTTATACATTTTTAAAGGCAAAATCAAAAGCGTAATTTTTTTAATGGATAAAGATTAATTGAGAAGAGATAGCAGATATTATGTGTACACCTTTTCAGAGTATTATAATTTCAGTCCGAAGCTTGTAACTATGTGAAGGAGTCATTTCCAACCCCATAAAGTATATATATTCTTTATCAGCATCAACAGGCGAATCTTTTTAGCCATATCAGAGAAAAATTAATTTTTTCAAAATTTTAAAAATTTTATAAGGGGTTACATCGTTAAAACTGTCAAAAATCTGAAAAAATTTCAATTTTCTTAAATGTTAAACGAAGTATGCTGATTTATTAGCTTAACAAAAACTAACACAGGACAGCCTTCCAAATTAAAATTAAAGCTTTGTTGGCTTAGTTATGTGTTTTTCGAAAAAAGTGTCTTAAAAAAATATTGTTAAATAAAAGAATGCGAATAATTTAAGCTTACTTATAATCGATTTCGGATTGGAACCTATAATTCAATTGCAAAACTGCAAGGGTATATAAGATTCTACATCCCAACTTAGTTTTTTTTTGTTAGTATTTATTTAAGACATTCGTTGCTTGCTTTTCCCTTTGCATCCTCTCTCCATTTCAGTTTCAATAGTTTTAAGGATATATTATATTAACCCATATATATGGCATTCAACCTTGCAGAGTCGATTACATTGCAGCTCCTTGCTTTGTCCTTCGGCTGACTTGATTCGACTTGTTTGCTCAGTCCAACCAGGGACAATAGGGTCGAGATTGGCAACTAAATGTTTTTAATGTTCTTGGCTAAAAACCGCATGATGGGGCTCTCTATACTCCTCTTCGAGGCTTAAAAATTTAATGCGCCATTATTTATCAGTCGCAAAGGTCCTTTGCGGCACTCGCACTCCATTTGGCTTAATTATTGCCATCGCGCTTTGGCCTGGGTAAAAACTCCGCAAAGCCGTGGCCTTTACTGGCCCCTCAGGTTCCGGAGGCTCCTCACTCTCTGAATCCGTCCTAAGCGCAAACGTCAACAGAGCCCGTGGTTCCTGGGTCAACGGCAAGTGCGCCGGAGGACTCCGGCAGGATCCCAAAGCATCCTCTTCGAGTGCGAGTGCGAGGGCGGGGTGCAAAGTGCAAACTTCAAAGTGCCGCGCGCACAGGACACGACTAATTCAATTAAATCCCTTCGCTCAGCCCGAAGGAAGCCGGCCAAAAGGGCACCCACCGTGTCCTGTGTGTGGGCGTTAGCCGCCGCGCCATTTGAGGGCTTAACTCCTCCAGAGCTTTGGCAAGCTGATAAAGTGAGCAAGGCAAATAATTGATCCAGTGACTAATTCGAAAGGCAAACACTAAGGCCAACTTATGGCCTCTCATCCCACTTCTATCCGACTCAGGATATTATTATGAGCTTTTAAGCGATGAAAATTGCAATTTTTCATTCCAAAATGTAATTTTAAAATGAAATTGTAACCCAATTTTTAATTGGTAATGCTAGGAGCTGCATTTGGCAGTCCAATTAGTGACTCTACATAATCTGTTTGCCCGACTAATCCTGTATTTAGTTAGTTAAGTTTATCTACACACAAATAGCATTTTTGTAACCTTATTTCTGTGTATTTTGTATTTTTCAAGGATACATTTTTCAGCACTTGGCAAATAGATAAATCCCTCAGGGTCCGGCAGGCGGCAAAAGAGGTTGCTTGGCCCACATTGAGTTACTAAATAAATAACTGCCAGCTGGGGGTCGTCAGGTCGGACGGAGGTCGTGGGTAGTCGGGTTCGTCCGAGTGCCGACCATGTTTGTGTAAATTAGTGGCACAAATAAATACTCGACCAGCAGCTTTGCAGCAGTTGCAGGGACCAGTTGCATGGACGAGACGAGAGAACCGAGAAAAGCCCAACCAATTGATGAATGGTTGATGTCCGAAGTCTGATGCCTGGTTTCCAGTTTAGTTAATTGAAAATCCTGGAGATTTGCAGCCCGGCTGTTATTGAAACCCATTGTGAAAGGCAGGCAAACTTGTAAATCAGTTCCGACTCAGGACGCCTTGTTGACCCATCGACAATCTGAATTTAAATGCTTGCTGACAGGCCTGGTGACAAAACCCTCTTGGCAGGTGTGTGCGCCAGGTGTGCCAGCTGTTTGCCCAACAAATTGAACCTAATGCGGCTCAGAAATGGCATTTAAATAAGCCAGCCAGCAGGAACAGCAGGACCGACAACTTATCAAACCGATTCGTAGTCGATGTGGAAGCCTTTCCCCAACGCCAGCCAGGACATCTCAAGCTGAGATACATTGCCGAAGACAACTGTCAACATTTAAATAAGATTGATCGATTGGCAGCGTCACCGGCATTGACATTGCTCCGTCGTGGGCTTTGCCACTAATGCTCCTTCGCCCTCTGGGGCGTGACGGACTTTACGCGCGTTCTGATTTCCATTAAAACGAGATGTCCCACGCTTGCACAGGGGAAAATGTTTGATATATCTATTAAATTGTTGTAAATTCTAATCACTTATTTAATGATTTTGTAGAAGAAGAACTAGCCTTCATAAAAATCATCCTGTTTGCCAAACAAATTCTTTTTTCCAAGGGATAAAATAGTATTTGATGCCTTGGGATAAACCTCTTAAAAAATGTAGGATATGGATTAGTTTCCATATAATTTTCCATGAATAGACACCTCAGAAATGTAACCTATATATCTTTATAAAAGTTATTATCTTTTCCTGCTCATTTTCTCTGAGTGCAAAGCAAACTACCCTGGATATGCGTTCTTCATTTAGCTTTCCAATCTCAATTCCAATCCCAATCCCAATCCCATTGACTTTGTCCCCCTGATTTAAACTCGCTCTCTGTGTTTGTGTGTGTGTGACAAATTGGTGGCGCTTCCGTTTGGGATTTGCCGCATGATTCGCAGTCTGTTTACGCTGACCAGCGGGCAGCCGGAGCTTAGAGTGCATAACAAATCACTTAGCACCCGTCCGTCAGGGAGCTAATCATGCTCGCATGGGGGTCCTGGCGCATTTGGCTATAAAAATTCCAGATCGCCGTGCTGCCGGCATCAGTAGTTATCCGAGAGTCCCCAAAGTGCCAAAGCGGTTCCATTCACCGGAGCGGAGTTAATAGTCGAGAGCCTCGAGAGAGCACTTCCGTAGTGTCCTGTGCGGCGCTCATAAAAGGCAAAAACACCGACCAAGGCCAGTTATGTGTGGACCCAGTTATTGCACACTGCTGCTAATCGTGGCATCCTGCTATGTCCTCGTCTGTAGTCAAGCCAGGGCCTTACAGGTAAGAGTGGTTACACTTGAAAATTATCCAAAGGATTTTTGTTTTTAAATTAAATTAAAGAGTGTACATAGATACACGAGTTAGGGATATATTCCAAGAGGCAATCCAAAAAGCTTCCTTCAAATTGCCATTCAGTATGCTTACTGTAAGTTTAACTCGTTTTTTCTAAGTGTACAAGTGGGTACAGCCAAACAAGCGCCACTTAATTAGTGTTATTTGCCCAGGCACAAGTTCTCGCAGCTTTTGCGCGATAATTTGCTGCTGCTACTACCACGTACTACGTACTACAGTACTTTGGTTTTACGGACGGAAAATTCGGGCAAAAAGTTCCTCCTCAGTCGGCAGCACCGAGTGCAGTCTCATTTCCTCACTGTCAACGCCATTTGCGATGCCACCAATTAAGCTGCAGATGCAGGAAATCGATTCGCATCCAATTAACACTTTCGTTGGCCACACGGCGTATACGTATTACGCAATTGCGGCTAAAAATGCTTTGCCAAATTAAGGTTTAATATCAAGTATACGCCCCACACACACACACACACACACACACACACACACACACACACACACACAGAGAGAGAGAAGAAGCGTTTATGGGTAAAGTGCGATTTACAAGCCGATTTCAGGTGTTGGCATTTCAATCTACATTGAGTTGTCTAATCAAGCGGCACACGCTGCCTGCCGGGCTGTAAATTGAAACAATAAAGTGCTTGACTCGCACATTCGCACACCCGGGCACACCTCACACACACACACATGCAGGACTGGGTGTGTTGGCAAGGCAGCGCTGTGTGTGCAGCTCACGTACGAGTATGAGCATAAATAGGCGGCATAAAAATAACTTAACACGTGTCGACAGTTTGGCAGCCTCTCGGCTGAGCCATCTACTA